CAGATGACAATTGAGGTGATAGCAGAGCCAGATTGGGGCGTAATTGATTGTGTGAGGCTATTGGAGAGTTATCTGAAGTACAAGTAAACAGAAAACTATTGACAGTTCTGATTTTAATGCCTCAAAAGGGTCAATCAGTGTTGTTGTAAACTTCAAACCAAAAAGGATTGTCAATAAAATCACAAGTTTGATTGTTTGAAATTTGTGTTAAGTGTAGGTTGTTTGTCCAGTAGGCTGTTGATAGTTTTACACAGAAGAATGGTGTTGAGATTAAGATTGTGAGTCAACCAAGTATTTAGTCTGAGCCGGGAGACGTCTTTCTTACCCGGAAGGCTGGTCGGATGTCAACCAAACTCAACAGTGATATTGACAAGGCTTTGCAAATATCAAAACCTTTCTGAACAACTGAGCCAGCGGTGGAAGAGTTCTTCCCTTCGGGAGCAGGTCCTCCAGCAGGATTGGGATCAAAGGCAGTGGCAGATGAGGCTAAATTATTGGGTCCAGTACTAGGATGGGCAGCATCATGATGATCATGTAAATTCAAGCCAGAGAGGTCATCGTCTGGTTTGAGAGGGTGGTTATCTAGGGCCATGTGAGGACCGGGTTTGGAGGGATCCTTCTCATCCAGATCTTCTCCTTCTTTCCTGCCAAGCGGAACTGTTCCTTCCAGGACTCTGATGACCCTGGACAGTAGATCTCCTTCAGTCAGGATTTGTTGGTATCATCAACTACAGACACATTTCCATCCTCAGATTCACCACCGCTACCCCAGGATCTGTGTGGGTCACCGAGATTCCATTGGGCCCAATCCTTTTCAGGCTACTTTGCATCTAGGTGGTTTGCAATTCACCATCTTGACTACTGGCCGAGGTTGAGGAGTTCAAGCTGAGTAGGGGTGCTTGGCGGCAGAGAGGAGGGAAAGATTAGCAATGGTTAAGGGGTGCAAAGGGGCATTGGAAGAGTTTTCTGGGATCCCAAATCCATTGCCGTCAGTGTTCATCGGTGTGATTGAGAGAGGTCGTGAGGAGCTGCAAGCGCCAGTCATGAATGGTGCACCAGGCACGGCTGAGTTTGACGGATGGACATTACGTCACAGGGGAGGAGCCCCAGAATGTTGGGCGAATGATGAGAAGTTGGGTGGGTGTTGATTATCAATTTTCGAGACCTGGTAGAGGGCTGATTGTTGGGATTGATCCTGGGGAGCCCCAGAATGGTTCAATGGTTGATGGATTGGGTTGGGTGATAGATTGTCTTGCTGGTTGTTGCAGGGTTGATGAAGGTTGGAGGCAGCTTGGAAGTGATATATATTGGCTTCGTTGGGATGGTTTGGTCCGCTGTGTTGAACGGCTTGAGTTTTGCTCAAGATCTTTCATGGCCGTTTGATCCCGGGAATTAATGCAGATTTTTGGGGGAGTGTATTGAGGACGGGGTTGGAGGTGTGATAGTTGATCTCCTGCAAACACCTGTGAGTGACATTCAAGCCAAAACAAAGAGATGGGTAAGTAGATCATGACGAAATTTTGGAAATGGGATATTTGGAATGATGACAAACTGTTTGAGATAGTCTCTACTCTTAGCCCTTGCTTTAGGATCCCTACCAATCCCTATGGCTGTTGTCCCAAAGCCAATCCCGGCGTCACCCATCATTGTTGCCATACCAGCTCCCATCATACCGTTTGCCCAGGTATCCCATTTCTGTTGGTTCTGAGATCAAAGGCGTGGGGGAGGTTGAGCTTTGGGTAGGTAGATAAGTGGGTGGGCTAGGAGGTGGTGATTGGTCTTGATTGGCAGTGTCAGAAACCGTGACCGTCGGTGCAGTAGGCCAGGCTGGATTGGTAGAATAAATTGAATTGTATCAGCTCAATTGGTCTATAGAATCCATCAGATCCAATTTAAAAAAAAGAATGGTCACCGTAAAAGCTGTTGAAGCCGCATTTGGTTCATCATACTTGGGACTATTGGCTTGTGAAGGAGATTCTGAACCTGAGGGGACTTTCTCAGCCATGCATAAAGCAGGCAATTTACTGGGAGGTAGGGCTATAGTGAATGCGTTTGTGTTTTCCTTGTTTTGGTTATGTGAGAGATACTTGGACCTAAAGGAAAAGAAAATGATGGACTCAGATCAACAGTTTCTCTTTAATACCAAAAACAGAAGATGGTGATAGAAAAAAAAACTTACCGTTCCATCTTAAGAGCCCATTAGCAGACATGTCGAGGAAGATGAGCTTGTAGGATGAGTATGGGTAAGAACCAGAGACGTCCAATGATCAATTTATTGTATGAGAACACCCCCATCAGGAAAGAGTATAACATTCAATGATTGACACCAGGTGAGCGCTGAAGTTTGAACTTCAGGACTATCTGCTGTTTGTACCAGCCTGCCAAGAGCCTGAAAATTCTGAAAATGAGACCCGCAGCTGGACTGAACCGGATAGATAGACCCAGTAGCCCAGTTCCTCTGGTTCTGGGGTGATGATATCCTGAGCAGAGATGTTGTAGGTCTGCGGGTCATTGTTGTGAGTGGATTGGAGTAGTTCTTGTTTGGAGTGAGTGGAAGCTGGACGAGTTTCTGGGTGACTACAAAACCTACAAAAAGCTTGTAGCTAGAAATAATGATATTCTTAGTGTGCAATACCAAAATTTATACTAAAAAAAGCAAAAATCAAGCTTGATCTTTTAACCCCTTGTGAAAACATTTCTGCCTGGTGATTATTCCACTCAAAAGATAAAGTCCATACTGAGTAAAAATTTCAAGAATAATGCAAAGTGTGAGAATAGGCAACCAATCTTAGACTCCTCAGGACTGAGAGAGGAATAAAGAGACAAAATTCAATGTGACATGAATGTGATGAGATTTATTGCCAAATTAGAATCACACATCAAACATTTTGTTGTTGGTCACCTGTTCCATCAATTAATTAATTGGCAAATTTTTGCATTTTTTGTAGTTTAGATGAATATGGAAGCCATGATAAGCTGAGAATGTGGGAGGAATTGTATTTCTAGTATTAAAACCTCCCAGACAAACCAGCTGTTTTCTTTACAAAAAGCATCAAGAGGACACATCCCAGAGAAACTGCCATAGACCAGTTTTCTGTGGAAGAAACCTCACAGAGAAACTGGCATAGACAAGTTTTCTGGGGAGGAAACCTCCCAGAAAAACTGGTATAGATCAGTTTTCTGGGGAGGAAACCTCCCAGAGAAACTGGTATAGACCAGTTTTCTGGGGAGGAAACCTCCCAGAGAAACTGGTATAGACCAGTTTTCTGGGGGAGGAAACCTCCCAGAGATACCAGTTTGTCTGGGAGGTTTCCTCCACAGAGAACTGGTCTATGCTAGTTTATCTGGGAGTTTTCCTCCACAGGAAAGTGTTCTATGATAGTTTTTATGGCAGGAAATACTATACCAGTTTGTCTGGGAGTTTGCCTCCAACCAGTTTTTCTGGTATTATCTGGGAGGATTCCAAAAACAAAAACTGGCATTTTTCTGGGAGGCTGTCTGCACAAAGAACTGGATTATTCCCAGAGAGCTCAATTATTGTTCAAGAGGCTCCACAGAAAGCTGGAGTACATCCACATAACTGAAATTTTGTCCAGGATGCTCCATAGAAAACTGGATTTCATCTGAGAGGTTTCCTCCACATAATATTGGAGTTTGTCTGGAATGCTTCCTCCACATCATGGCTTCAAATCCATCTTTCAATTTAAACTAAATACAAACAATTTGAGACAGGTGGACAATCCACATAAATACAGAATTCATTCACAATCTAGCCCAAATCTCAACTTTAAAACCTCAATATTGATGTAATTCAAATTTTTCCAGCTATCTTCCCTTCAACATTTGATCTTATGATAATCTCAGACTTGCATCATTATCTCAAACTTGCTCTTGAACTGATTGCCATGAGGGAATCATAATTTCAAGAGACCAACACATTTTTCATTGAAATTTTCTGCCGTCTGACACCAGTTTTTTTTACTCTCAACTTTATAAGTTTTTTCTCCTTTTGTATTACTCAAAAGAATATTTGATGAGACAAGATACTGAAAATTTTACTAGAATGGTGAAATAATAACTAAAACCTTGTCCATCTCAAGCTGGCTCTACCTGCCAGTGCTATTGGCTTGCTCATTGGTGCCATGTCATACCAAAGATGGAATAAATTCAATTTTTGGCACCCAATTCAATAGCAAGATGAAAAACAGCCCCTAAAAAGTACTAGTCTTCTTCTCCATTCACATCCTTCTGCCTTTCATGCGCAAAATCTTTTCCAAAGCCTGTTTGACTGGATGTTGAAGATAAGACTGGCACTAGAAACAATAACTTCATCCTTTGCCCCAATTTCTTGGAAAATTTGGGATCAATTTGGTCTGTAAATTAATCCAGATCTTCTTCCTTCCCCACCTCTTGTGTGGCTCATTCCTCTGGTTCCATTCAGAAGGGTTGCTTTGCTGAATATGCATTATTTTTGACTTTGATAATAGGCACCAATGAGATAATTGAAATAAATAAAACCTGTGAAAGAAACATTATCTCGGCTCAGAGTTAAATCATAAGCAAATTCATCATTTTGCAGACAACAATTTCCTGTTGTTGCAATTTTTGTTATGGCAATCAAAATGGGCTCAGACAATAATATCAAGAATTTAGTTTCAATTTTGAAATTCCAAGTCTTTGCCCATGGTGAACTACATTTTTACTTTTCTCAGGTGACTAATCCCAGAAATATTTCATTTGTGAAATTATTTTCTCCCCAGAATTTCTCCATAAAAGTTAATAGATGTGAATTTAAATAGTATACAGACTGAAATTACCTTTTTAAACTTTAACACAAGCAAGATTGATGTCATTCCAAGATAGTAAATACCAGATAAATTTGAAAGATAAAGTTCTAAATGAATTGAGAATTGAAAAGCTGGAATTCTTTTCTCGAACTATGAATATACATAAAATAAATTCTTTTTGACACCCTCAATATCTTGCATATAATCCAACTAGCTGGTGGTCATGGTTAAATCACATGTTTCAAATTTGCCTGTGACCATGAGTCACTCAGACTACATACATTCATACTGCATGAACTAATCATTGAAAAGCTAGAATTATTTTACTTGTGAAGATAAGTCAAAGCCTAATAGCATATTTTTTACATGTGATTCCCTTGTAAATTTTTTCATTCCTCTAAAACCCCCTTATCTGCTTATTTTGGGTGTGCAGTATGGGCTGTAACCTGTTTCTCAGATTGAATGACATCTGATTGCCTCTTTTCATGTGTGTCTTCATAAATTTTTATTTGATTTTCTCAGACACTTTTTGTAGCTGGACAAGGCCAGTAGAAATATGAGATATTTTTCTCCTGGAACAATTACAAAGTACTACTACTAGATACAAGCGATAGAGGAAAGAAGAAAAGAAAAGATTATTTTTCATTTTTATTGGTTTGTTTAATTATAGTTTCTTCTATTCTTAGAGAATGTATTTTTAGCTGGTAAGAAAACACTGAAACTTCTGTTACTAAAGGTAGTAGTAGGATCAATCAAATATGTATTGATTGTGACAATTTTTTATCCAGTCAAATGGTTGGTAAGTTTTATCAGAATCAAACCCAATTATTTATTTATTTTAGATATTTCATTCAAAATTTTATTAATTGCTAAGTATTAAGATTGCAGGTTTTTTATAGGAAGTGATATTAAGCCAAGTGGAGGAGAGAGAAGAGGGAATCACAATAATATAATGGATAGAGTTATAGATTACCTAAAGAGATCCAATGATTATGTATACACTTAAATAAGAAAGGATTTAGATAAAATAAAGATACTTGAAAGGATTATTTTCAGAAAAGTTATTCTAATTAATTACCTTTTTATTTTTTGATGTCCCAAAATTTAATTCTGAGAAGTAAGAAACATTTCTTTGCTGAGGAGGGAGGTAGAAATATTCTGTTTTCAGGGGTTTAAATTGTATACCAGTCCTTCTTTCAAGTCTTGGTATTGCTTGCATTGCCTCAATCTGATCATCTTGAAGGGCTGAACTCATCTTTTGAAGATTGATTTTAATATTCAAAGGATTTAGTGTTCTTTGATTAATCTTAATTACAAGAGATCACATATCTGTGAAACCACTCATATGTAAGTGAAATCTACATTCATTTCAGTATTATTAGGGGGTATCAAATATAACCAAATCCACCATTATTTAATTGACTGGTTTGAAAAAATCCACCCTTTTTTAAACATGTTGGTTCTTCATTTAACCCCTTTAGGGGCCCATTGATGCAAAAAAATATTTTTAAAAAAGGGACTGGTTTCTAATGGTGGATTTCCTATATTTGATACCCCCTATTATTATTTCATTTGTTTTAAATATTTTTGTTAAACCTTTAGGACATTTCAACGTGTCTCTAAGGTTGACACTTTCAACACAGCCCTTTTCCTCAATGGAACCAAAGAATTGAACCAAAAAAGAGGCTGGGGGGAAGGAAAAATATATGGATCAATTGACAGACCAAATTTAGACCAAAGTTTTCAAAAAATGGGTGCCAAGGATGAAGTCTCTGTTGCTAGTACACCCACCAACAGTACTGGTTAAATTTTTTTGATCTGGAAAGGAAAATAATAATTCTTCAAGCTCAGTAGGTGGAATGATTCCTCATTAGAATGCAGTGGATGAGAGGAATTCTGTTGTTGATTGAGTTAACTTTTTCCATTCTCCTACAATCCAATGGTTCTGATCTCACTAGGGATGCTCCTGATTGTTTAACAAGGAATATCTCCCAGAAAATCTGGGTGTATATTCCCTGCTATTAGCTTGCTATCAATGTTGCTAATTTGCTGCTCCTTTGGATCCTCATAGACTTTGCTGTTTGATATGACTTCTCAGCATCCAAGTAATTTTGATTTACACCATCCTCAACACAAATAAAACTTTATGTAATTATTTGTGCCACCAGTATGGCTGGGATGACAAACAATCCATGGAGGTGGTATTAAACCACCAAACCCATGCGAAACCAAGCATTTTGATGATGGATAAAAATCCCCAACAAACTCTCACAAGCAGTTTGGTGAGGGGAGGAAACCTCATAAACCTCCCCAACAAACTGCCACAAGCAAGAAACCTCCCCAACAAACTACCACACAACCAACTGCCACAAGCAGTCTGGTGAGGAGTAAAACTCCCAAACCAACTGCCACAAGCAGTCTGGTGAGTAGGCGAACTCCCCAACAATCTGCCACAAGCAGTCTGGTGTGGAGGAAACCTCCTGACCAAACTAGAGGGGAAAACCTCCCAAACAAACATCCAAGTTTTCTTCCTTTTTGTTTTCATTGCTTTTTTCAATATTTTTTTTCTTGCTGAATTTTTCCACTTTACAGGATCTGATCTCTGTACTAAAACATCCAGCAAGGTTTTTGATAAAAAGGTTGAGTTCAAATCACTTTGAAATCAGAATCAACTGAGAAATTATTCAAGAAGATTCCCAAGAATTATCAAAAAAATCAAGATATAGATGTTGAACTATGACAACAGTTCCTCTTCCTAAGCCCATTCCAGGTCGGGCCCACAGTTGCGGGCATGGAAGACTTGAAGTGGTGCTCTTTCTGAGCAAGTTCTCAACCAACAAGCAATGGTGTATGTACCACTTGAATGGCGGGCGGGTTTGCTCTCCAGCAAATAGACACTGAGTCTGTCCCTCGGCGGGAGGTATCCTCTTGTCCTGCAAGCCGGAGCAGGAACTATAGGCCAGAGTCTCCGAGGATTTGCCTCTGGCAAGCAGGTGTAATGGCGGCTCCTTGTAGACTCTTGCTCTCTGTGAAAAGTGTTTTTTGGCTGAGCCTGAGCAAGTATTGAACTAGCTCTCTGTGATGCATCTTCATTGCAGATGATCAGCAGCTACTTTGTCTGTAAATTTGAGAGTTTCTCTCTCCAACTCACAAGGGTCTTACCTTCTTGTCGACGGAGACAATATCCACCCTACACATGGTGTCTGGAGTGGCTTTTCCCCGGCATGCAGCCATCCATTGCAGAGGGAATTCTGGAGGATGGTCAGGATCACAGAGAGAATTCTGATTGTCAGCTATCGAGTAAGAGTCGGATACCTTGAGGGAATCCGGATCCTAAAACAGGATAGTGATAAGTTTTGAGAAATTGAAGGCCAGTTCTGGTTCAGTGATTTGCTGATATAACTAGACCACAGGCTTCGTTCTTGGTTGAGTTCAGGGATCTGCACAATATAACTGGAAGGAGCGGTCCTAGAAGTTAATCCTAGATTGACTTCAGGAGCAAGAGGAATTTGTAAAAGGTTCGGGTAAGATTCGTCTCTTCTTGGATTTCTGGGGAGCATCAAAGACAAGAGAGAAGAAACTTATATAGTATGTACAACTTGCAGAACTCTATATAAGCATAAAAGATAAAATGAATATAAGAATAATAAATAGTGCAGTCTGTGTAGTAAATGGTACATTAACTTGTGAAAGGTATTGTGACATTTACTTGCAAGCTGACACTGATGCAAATCAGATGTTGGGGGGAGTAGTTAAAACTGTTCAAGAGAGGGGATCTTCCTGAAAAATCTATGTATTTACAAGAAATCAGGTTGGTGCTACATAGACTGATTTTTATCCCCCAGACCAGTTCTCCAGTTTGCCATGAATTTGAACTCGATAAACGCATGTCAAGTCTGGATTGCCATGGTTTGATTTGAATTTCAGGAGCACTTTTGACAGGAGCTTTGATTGATTTTGTGGAATCAATAATTCTTGTATGTTTCTGTGACCATTCATCCTACAGCTACCTTCAAGCAATAAAAAGCCTTCCTCATCCTGCTGCTGATGATCTAATCCCCACAGCCCAAACACATTTGGAGCAGTTCAAATATTGTATGCAATTGAATCAGAAACGTGCCCAATTGTGACCCCCGTGACCCATATAGTTCTGGCAAGCTGGATGGCAACTTGTCCCGTCAATCCAGGGAAGGACCAACATGTCTCAATGCTGAGATTGGAAATAAGTACTGTAGCTGGAGGACTGCCAAGTATTTTCTCTAGACTTTTGTAAAAAGGAAATTTCATAGATTGAGTCTTGCGGTGATAACTCCAGGTTGGGGATGTCAAACGCTTGATGATTGACGCCCCACCAGAAAAAGATGTGAAGTCCCTCCTTGTGAAGCCAGAGTCTTTATTGTCTTTTTTTGTTGGAGATGTGTTGTCCAAGTTTTCCAAGCCAAAAGCCATCCTCCAGTGATTTTCTATTGGGAAAAAATGCTTGTTGAATTCAGACTTCTGAACCATGGTATTCCTCAATTTGTTAAGCTGTTCAGTAACTTCTAGCAGATCCTCTAAGTGTTTTTCGATAACAAGGAGTTTCTTATTAAGCGTAAACTGCTCCTGCCTGAGTTCCTTCTCATCCAGGGGAATTGTCAGTTGGTGGCTAACTTGCTGTGTCTCATCAAACTACTCAACTATTTATAAATATTATTCCAACCACAATTGCCAAGATGAAGCCCGGGTTTTTCTTCACGGATTTCCATTGTATCACAGCTTTTTTTCCAAAGGTTCTTCCTGAGTTTGACATAACTTTGGTTTAGTTTGAGGTATCTAGAGACAGTTTTCCAATCCAATTAGATTGACCAGAAGATGAAGTGAAGATTTGGGATTTGTCTAGGAACAGTTTAAATTTGGCTGGCTGCCTGCTCACCTTCAGTTTGTGTGGATTGTACCAAGGGTTAGGGACTTCAATTCTGTTTCTTTTGTGCCACCCAAATTATTGGACTCAAGATGTGTAAACCCCCCCCCTCCGGCTTGGTTCACAAACCTCTCACTCAGATGTCACACCCCCTTTATAGTCTTCATCTTCGAGTTCCCCTTCCTGGCTCTGCAGAGATCTGCCCTTCCATCTCTCTGAGACAGGTGAGTTCTATTTTCTCTTTTCTTCTTGTTTTTCTCCTTTTCTAGATTGTACTGAGAGATCTGCCCTTCCATCTCTCTGAGCCAGTAATAAAAGCTCCACGTGTTTGGTCTTAGAAAAGTTTTGGGCTCACTTGCCTGCTCTCCGTGCCATTTTATTGTCCACCTAGTGAAGGACATTCTCAATCCTTACACTTTTTTTTTCTCCCACCAACCCTCCTCCGACTGACCACCTGACTTGACTCGACTGAATTGACCAAATCAACTTGACTAAACATACTCGACTGACCTTACTGCCCTTTGTTTTCTCCCTTTTTCAACCAATATCTTCTTCACATCTTGTTCTGGTTTTCTTGCTTCTCTTGACTGCTTGCGGGTGCTCGTTTATGACTACAAGGAGCAATACCAACCCCGACAAACTGTTTCCATTAACGGACCCTGATGCCATCATCCGATCTGGTAACGCTGAACAACGCGGACTCAAACAACTCAAATCTAACCCAACTGCCCCACTCCCACTTCTCTCCAAGACTACACCTCCCACTGCAATGTCCGGCGAAATTGCCCCAGCTCATGAAAGACCGGGTCGACTCGCACAGCAGACGCCTCAGACATGCAGACAGCTAAAGACTGGTTCAAGTCTGTCTTCAAGATTCAACATGTGTTCATCGTTGAAGCACAGGCCGACCATTGACAAGCTGCAGAGGATTGCTGAAAAGCTCCGGAGGATCGCCGCGCTGACCGATGTGGAACTACTCTTTGGTGGGAATAGAGGTTAGAGAGGGATGAGAGCTTGAAGGGCTGCCTCTCTGGTTACTGGGAGAGTAAGAAGAACAAGAAATAAGAGTATGGACTCTTAAAGAAAGGTGTGGCTAAATGAAGATGTAAGATTTGTAAAGGGTAAGGTATGAGGATAATTACTTCTGTGTGAAATGTCTTAATTCTGTAATGCTAAATATATTTTCAAGTAAGTAATGCTAAATCAATGACCAGGGAGCAATAATGACAACTCTGATGGGGGACAAATGGCAAGGGCCAAGAGAGCACTACATATAAGTCTTCTGGGGGGGGGGGGGAATAAGAAAACAAGGAGCAAGGCATCATCACAGGGTACATGTAACAAGGCAACAACATGGCTTGGGAGACAGGCTTGGGAATGGCATGTGTGGCAAGGGTGAAACAAGGCTGAAGCAACAGGGATAGAAACATGACATAAGTGGCTACTGTAGTGAATTGCCATGGTATGTAAAGGAGGGAAACAAAGATGGTGAAGGATAAGGGTCTTTCCTAATATTCTGGCCCTCTTGGATGGTGGACTTTCTCCCACTTTATACCTAATTTGTACTTATTTTATTACCAGGTGTGGCTGGTGATCCATGTGAAGTGTTACTGGTGGTTTGTTGAGTCTGTTGGAGCTGATGGAATTGTCTATGGGATGATTGGAGGTGGCCATGAGTGGATTACATATGTAGAATGTTGATTTGAGGGGTGTTATGATATGTAGAAGGTGTGAAGATGGTCCAGAAAGGTGGTAGAAAGGTGTAACAGGTTTTGATTGGTCTTACCACATCCACCCCCAAATTAGATGATGTCCCCATCATCCAACCTAGTGTTACCTGTGGTTTTATATGAGGAAGAAGAAAGAGAAAAAAAAAAAAGAAAAGAAAAGAAAAGAAAGAAAGAAGAAATGAGGCTGGGAAAAAGAGAAATGTAAACTATGTACATGGAATTTATTAAAGCTGGGGACTTGATGTAAGGGGAAAAAAAGGAAAAAAAGGAAGTGGGTCAATTTTATGTAGGATTTTTCTGCTGGCTTATACTGTAATTTTTGATTGGATTTTTAATTTTCAAGTTGGGCAGGAGTAAAATGAAGAAAGCTAAAAAACTGTATGCTAGAAAATTTTGAAAAGGGAAGAAGGGATAAGAAAATTTTATTTCTTATGAGATTTTGATCAATGGGTTTTGATTTTTTTTCTCAGGATTTTATCTGTCAGCTTTAATTGTTAATTTGTAATGAAAAGAAAACGTATCAGCAAGAAATTTAAAATAAATTTCACATATTCATCAGGAGAAATTTGTTTAAAGGAAAAACTTTTTTAACTTCCACCCCCAAATTAGATGATGTCCCCATCATCCAAACTAGAGTTACCTGTGATTTTATATGGAGAGGAAGAGGGAAGAGAAGAAAGAGAAAAGAAAGAAAAGAAGAAATGAGACTGGGAAGAAAAATATGTACATAGAATTTTATTAACGCTGGGGAAGATTTGTGCAAGAGGAATAAAAAAGGAAGAAAAAAAAAATGTGCATCAATTTTTATGTAGGATTTTTCTAATGATTTATACTGTAATTTTTTTGATTGGGTTTTTTATTAATTTTCATGTAGAATGGGCAGGTCCCAAGGTCCATAACACTAGAAGAAGAGTGTGCTGATGATTTCTGATATTGCTTGTCAGAGTCTACAACCATTTGATTTTTTTTTTGGCTTTTGTTGAAGATAATCCAAGAAAGATGAAGTTGGGTCCTCTCTAGTTGTTTGATGGGTTCGCTTCCACTCCTTCAATCAGATTTACCTTAATGAAACATAACATTTTGACAAGAGCTTGGTGAATCTGCTGGGAGGTGGTATTTGTGATGGATAGCTTGATTTTGAAGTGATTTGATTGCTTTAACAGATGTTGTATAGTATGTAATGTTCCAGAAAGGCAAAAGAGCTGATCGCGATTAGCAATACATTCATTTCAAGCTACTCCAAGTATAACAACAAACGAGGTGTCGATATTGGTCGCTTGACAGGAGATTGTGTTCAGAAAATGGAGGAGTCAGGTACAAGGGTCAAAAAAACCAGAAGGTAAACTTGTAGATCGCTTGATTCATAGTTGGTTATTTGCAGTAATGAGAAAAGAAGATTAAAGGAGGTGATTTCGAATCTATTGAGCTGAATTGGTCCTGAAGCAAGGCTGGCCAAACCGATTAAACCATTCCTCCAGGCAACTGAGTTCAAGACTTGAGAGACCGAGGCTGGTCCAGTTGGTAGTTGATCGACCGATTGTAGTTGCAGATAAAAGAAAGGGGAGACAAGCAAAAAAGGAAAAAAAAAGTAGAAATGTTGATGCCTTGATCCAGAAACGGGCTGGAGATTCAATCGATGCAACTGAGTAGACCAGTCGTTCAGCAAAAAAGAGATGCCTGGTCGAGAATTAAGCTGGTGGAAACTATTAGCCTTTTATTTACAGCAACCGGATCTCAAAAAGTAAGAGACCGAGGCTGGTCTGGTTGGTTTTGATAGCGTTGAACCTTTCTTAGGTGTAGTCCAGGTTCAGGCAACAATCACGGTCATCTCAAAGTACTTATATATAAAGTAAGAAAAGTAGAGTCAAGAGCAAATAGCAAGGAAAAAACTCCTTCATCATAAGTTCCTGTATTGAACCGTTCATTGTGCTTCCCCATTCGTTCAATCCCTCTCCTCCGACCAACGTTCTCTTCACATTCCACGCGAAAACAACACCAAACATCAAGCTATAGTGAACTACCCTCATTGATTCCAAATACTTGTGTCTCTTGCCTTGCCAAACGAAGTCCAGCAGCGCTACCCGACATTTCCTGTTGTCGATTCCCTGTTTCACGCAAGACCAGGAATATAAACCTCCCAAATTGAAACTGATTGGTCCGATGGATAACCTTTCATTATGGCGGTCTGCCGACTCAAACGACTGGTTATATTCTGAATCTTGAAAGCTTCCACGTTCAAACAAGGTCTTGAGCTGCCTTCCAGGAGGTACAAACCATTTCCAACCAATTTCTGCTTTCCAATTCCTGTCGTTGATCCCCAGTGCCACGCAATGTAAAGATTCGGACCCCTCGCAAATCAACACTGGGTCGTTCTAAATGGTTCCCCTGAAACCTTTCTTTTCTTTTTGCAATCTTTTTTGTTTTCACATGAGACAGGGATTCTGACCGGAAGCTTTGACGAAGGGTACTTTCTGGCTTTTGTTAACCTTCAAAATTCCAGTAATAAGAAATTACCCAGTGAGACCAGATCTGCCCTTAAGTTTATTTCCTCCCAAGTTTATTTCGAAAATGGGGAATAACCCTTAATAATCCCTTGAGTGGAATTTTTTTTT